AAGCACGGCCTGGGCTTAACAAGCAGGCCACAGCTTGCACTGCACTTCTTTTTTATTTAATTAAAAATAATTTTTTTAAAATTTATTTCAGAGAGGAAAAGAGAGGGAGAGAGAGATAGAAACATGAATGATGAAAGAGAATCATTGATCAGCTGCCTCCTGCACGCCCCACACGGGGGATCGAGCCTGCAACGCGGGCATGTGCCCTGACCGGAAATCGAACCGTGACCTCCTGGTTCATAGGACGACGCTCAACCACTGAGCCACGCCGGCCGGGCTCACCGCACTGCTGACATCCAGCTAACATCCACCTTGCCCTTGCTGAGTCTCATTTTCTCCTCAAATGGGGCTGGGAACAATGCTCCCATATAGAGATGCTGGGAGCCACCCACGAATTCATGCTGCACGTACAGAGCCAAGCATGGGCCCCAGAACACCAAATGTGCATGATACGTTAGCTGTTAACTTCTGCTGGGCCAATGGCTTCTCCTCTCCAAGCTGTGGGAGGAGGAGGGAGAATCCCTACCTCACCGCCTTATGTAGAGAGGGGTCAACAAGAGCAGATGGGAAGGAAGCTTACAACAGCACCCAATGGGAAATCATTATCTCCCTTAATCCCCTCACCCCCAGGCCCAACTCACTTCCCATCTGGGCTTCTGGAACCTTTCGCTTCACTTCCCCTTGTCAGGCCCCAGCTCTCTGGTTCCTGGGCCACAATCGTAGCTCAGGCCTCACCATCTGTTTTGCCCTGAACTTTCCCAATGGTCTTCCTACTGCAGTAGACAGGACGTGGTGTTTGGAGTCAGATGACCTGGGTTCAAGTCCCAGTTTAGCCCGTTACCAGCTCTGGGGCTTCGTCCACGTCCTGGCCCCTCTCTAAGGCTCAATTTCCCCACCGGAAGAATCGGGGTGCCAGCAGATACCTTACCAGGCTACTGAGAGAGTTCAGAGTATTTATTAAGAGGCAAAGGTGGCCCAGGCCGGTGCCTCTAAGTGGTTAGAACGTTGGCCTGAGCACCAAAGGATCTAGGGTCCAATTCCCGGTCAGGGGTATGTACCTGGATTGCAGGTTAGATCCCCAGCCCTGGTCTGGCATGTGCAGGAGGCAACCAATCGAAATGTGTCTCTCACATCCGTGTTATCTCCCTCCCTCCCTCCTTCCACTCTATCTGAAATCAATGGAAAAATATCCTCGGGTGGGGATTAACAACAAAAGGAGGCAAAGGGTGGCTGGGTGTTGTGGGTGTCTCTCCGATCTCCCCGCCTTTGGTGAGCAGGGCAGGGCTGGGGCAGAGGCCCCCTTCCCAGGGCCTACAA